ACGAAGCGAATTAAAAATTGCATCGCTGCAATGTGAAATTCGTCATCGTTTATTAATACTCGCTAATGCTTCAACGAGTATTATATATGGCGTAAACTATATATATTAATTTTTTTGCTTCAGTTATTGAGATCAATTTTATTGAGTGTTTTTTTCCTTAACTGATTTAAGTTCTTATTTTATTATTATTTTAATAATAATATAATATACAATAATTGATGATTTTAGCTAAGCACTAAATTTATTTTTGCTCTCTCAATATCTTTTTATTTATTTTTCACATAATTTTTGTTGCAAAATGCATTTAACAAATGACTTTTTTTTTCTTCTTATTTTAAGTTTAATTTATTCATAGTCAATAAAATTTTAGATTATTAAGAAAGAGCGGCACACCAGGCCACTCTGTGATGAAAATACAGTTTTTATATTTCAATTACGTTTATATTTCTGATGCCGGCGAAAAGAAAATTTGTATTTGAAATTTTCGAGGTTGTTTGAATTCCTGCATTTTAGGTCAAAGCATTCAACACGCTTTGAGTTGTCTGTGTTGTCAAAGCATTCAACACGCTTTGAGTTGTCTGTGTTGTCAAAGCATTCAACACGCTTTGACAACACAGTTGGTGAGGAAGGTTTTTCTTTCTGAGCAGTTTCGAAAAAACTGCGCTTTGAGTTGTTTTATGCATCCACGCGGTTGAAGACTTTAGTTTAAAGACTCTGTTTGATTAAAGCAGAGTGAATAAGATCTTAACTTTATTATTTAGATAAATTTAAAATTACCAAATAAGCGTTTGCTTTTTTTTTCTTCTACTGAATTCTTAAACACACATATATATATATATATATATATATATATATATATATATATATATATATATATATATATATATATATATATATATATATATATATATATTATCAGTATAAAATTTCGTTTTAATTAACAAATAGTAGTATTATAGAAGTATTTCATAAAACGGTTATTAAATAGCAAGTATTCAGTTTAAATGGTACTAACATTATTATCAACTAATTACCAGTAGGAGTTTATAAACCGATTTTTAATGAAACTTAAACGAATGAAAGTTATAAAATGATACAAGTGATAAATATAATGTGCAATCGCTTTTCCAACGTCGGTAACGACTGAAGTTCTTATTTAACTATTATTTGAAGTTAATGTATGAGCTAAGAACATTTTCTATCTTTTTTCATTTATTTTTATTGTGACCTTTCCCGCATTTTCCGAAGTCATTGCAATGAATGAATTATTTTCAAATAAGTTTCAAATTAGCAATTGCGCGTTTGCACATTTTTTTCTATTATTATATTGTAAGAAAATCATTAAACATCAACCTCTTAAAATGGAGGCGAATAAAAAGAGACAAACAACACTTTCATTTTTAACACAAGCAGGATCAGAATTAAAACAACCTGTTGAAAAGAAGAAAAAACTAAGTAGTAGAAGTTTACAGCTAACAACAGCTCAAAAATGGATAAACACTACGCTTGCTAAATATAATGCAAGTGAATGACTAGAGATATCAAATAGTGGAAATTATGTTACAGCATTGAAATGTACTGTATGTCGTCAGTATGCTGGACAAATTGAGATTTATAAAGGATATACGCCAGAGTGGGGAAGCGATGAATGGGTTGCCACATCAAAGAGCATATGAATTAGCAATGAAAAGTAAAGGAATGGATGTAAGCGAACGAAATGATAAATTAATCAACCTGCAGAAAGAAATGCGGCAAACTAACATTTTATTGGGCCTGAAAACCATGACCACAAAGATTTAAATTTAACTTGAAAAAAATTTGAGGTAGCATACTTTATTTCTAATGAAGAGCTACCACTTAGCGTATACCTAAAAATACTATGCTTGGAAGAAAATCATGGTGTAGAGCTTGGTCAAACGTATAGAAATAAAGTAACTGGCAGAACTTTTATTGACTATATTGGATTGAGTTTATCAAATAATCTTAAAAATAAATTAAAAACACGAAATTATTTCAGTATTTTAATTGATGCATCAACAGATGTTTCTGTAATTGAAAAAGAAGCTATTTTTATTATTAGTTTTGATCCAACTCCTATAGGAAAGACCGAAATATGCGTTGAATGTTCTTTCCTTTCTATTTCTGATCTTGAATATGGAACATCTGAAAGAACTTTCAATAAAATCAGTCAATCCCTTGATTCAGAATGTATCAAAAATTATAAAACTAAATTAGTTGGTTTCGGTGCTGATGGCGCATCTGTAAATAGAGGAAATAGGACAAGTGTCAATGTATTACTTCAGATGGAAATTCCATGGATAACTTTCGGTTGATGTGTTGCACATCGCCTTGAGTTAGCGTTAAAAGATAAATTTGGAGAAATTAAGGCGTTTAATGATGTCGATAACATCATTTTGAAAATATATGCAATTTATAAAAAATTGCCCAAAAAGTTACGACAGTTAAGAGAGCTTGTTGCTATTCTTGAAAGGGGTAATGCATTTGACATTGCAGGTATTCGCCCCAAAAAAGCATCAGGTATATTGGATTTCATTTTAATTTATTCTATAAAAAAGGCTTTATAAAGTAATACTTCATTACATGCTCGTCTTTTTAAACAACAAAAGTTATTTATAAAAAAGTGTTTTGATCAATAAAAAAATTGAATTCGGTAAAATATTATGCAATAAAAACTTTTTATAAAAGTATAAGTTATTTGTTTAATAATAAATAGAAACACGATGGATTGCACATAAAATTCAAGCACTTGAGATGCTCTTAGACAAATATGGAGTATATATGAAACATCTCGAAAAGCTGCAAATTTCAGTTTTACCCAAGCAGAAAGAGTAAAGTTTAAAGGGTACCATCAAAAGTGGAATCATGGACGAATACCTCTTTATATAGCATTATTTATAGAAATTTTATCGCCAGCTAAATTGTTATCTTTATCTTTTCAAAGCAACGAAATTGATTCAGTAGCATCTTCTGGAATTATTGAACAAACTAAAAAGCAGTTAAGTTGTTTGCAGAAAAAAGAGTTTAATGATTTACCAACAGTCAAACGTTTTTATTAAAAATAAAGTGATGGAATATTTAAATGTCTTAATCTAAATTTAGCAGTTTGACAGGCGAAAAAAATTTGGATATTAAGAAATATGTTAGCTTATGCACAAACCAAATAAAAATGGTCAAGCTTTAACATTTTTCTAATACTGAACTTTGTATTTGTGTTGTATATAAACAATATGTATTATTTGTGATCAGGCTTGGTCTGGAAGCGGGTGCAATCGCACTCGATAGCTGACCACAAAAGAAATATTTATTTGCGAAAAACCGGCCAGATTTCATTTTTTTTTTTTTTTATTTGTCATTCTCGAAGCCACATCTACAAAGCTATAAATGTTTTAAATTAACATTAATTGTTTGCAAAAATAAATGTTTTAAATTTTTGTTTTTAAGTTCTTAGTAAAAAACGTTTTAAGAAACGTAGAAATTGGTTAACTAACTTCAATTATTATTTTTTTTTGTATTGTGATTAACTAATTTCAATTATTTTTTGCTTCAGCTATTCTTACAAACTCGTTATACTTAACTCTTTTCTGTTTTAAATACCAATTAAAACTATAAAGCCCACTCATTAAACATTATCAGCGGTAATGTGAAGCTGTTCCGCTTCCTCCTCACTAAGTAATTTAACGTTTTTAGTTAATTTCTATCTAGTTGATTGAATTTCTACAGTAACTCAATGATTTAATCATTTCATTTGTTCATGTTACAAAAAAGAATAGTTTCAAATGTGTTAAACTTTTCAAAACTACGCGAAGCATAAAACAGTTATTAAAAAAACCTTTTTATTTATAAATAAATCATCTAGAGTTAGTTTTACTGGTTGAATCTTGTTGGACTTTTCAGGGCCGCGGGCTGCATTATTTTAGTGGCATTTATTATGTGCCACAGCGTAAAAATGACTAAAAAAAATACCGAATGGTCCTTTTAACTATTTCGCGGCCTCTAAAATTGTGAGTCCCGGGGCTATAGCCGTTCTACCCCTCCACCTCCTTAATCCAGCACTGGAAATAAGACATAAGTATATAAATAAAAATTTTATACTCGTTGATAAATTAAAAAACATTTGTTTCCTTATTAAACAATCATTAATAGTGAGTTGCTTTAATCGTATTTTTTTGCTTAAAGTTTTTTTGCGTTAAAAGCTGTTTTCTTTTTTTAACTGTCTCTCAACGGTCCAGTTAATCTTGTTGCTCTTTTTTGTTTGTTTTTAAAATGTTCTCAAAACGACAAAAAAATCTGGCCGGTTTTACGCAACTAAATATTACTTCCATAGTCAATTATCAAGTGCGATCTCACCCGCTTTCCGACCAAGCTTGTTTGTGATATAAGTATTCTAATAACTATTCATTGAGATATAAATTATTTACTAATTTATAGGGTATTGCTAAAACTAATGGAGATTTTAGATTTAAAAACAGTAAACATTTTATTTTTATTATTTGTATCCCTTTTTAAGTAGGTAATGTATTATTTGTATCCTTTTTAAGTAGGTAAACATCAATTTATTACATATAAATATTCCAGATTTTTATTAAATCTTCCTCTTAAGTTAAATTCTTGGATTTGTTTAAGTAATGATCATTAATAAAGATAAAAAAAATCTGAAAAACAAGCAAAACTAGCTAAAAACAAAAAAAAAAAGAGCAATGGCTAAGCAAAAGTTAAACGCCGGTTGAAAATTGGCTGCCATGCATTGACCATGCATTAAACAGTGAACAACACTTAGCTTGGTCCATGCTTGTTTGCCAATAGTGGTCACAGAACCCATGATAAGCCATGCATGGACCAGGGATGGAGAGTTTGCTGGGAATATTATTAATAAGTAGAACTAAAAATTATATAAAAACTATAATTTAAAAAAAAAAAAGTTGAAATAAAATTTTAAAAAACTTACAAATTAGTGTTTAGTGCAAACATGATTAAATTACCTTCAGATTTTTTAAAACACCTATTCCTTTCAGTTTTTCTATACTGTTGTAAGAGATCCATAACTCCTCCAAACTGTCAGCGACTACTTCCTTAAAAAAATAAACTAATACAAAGACAAAAAAGTAAAATCACAATAACATTATTACATTATAATGGTAAAGAAAAAATTTAACTACTTTGTATTTTAATTTAAATAAAAATATAAAAATCATAAAACATTTTAGAAATTAAATCTTTTTTTGATGGTGCAGAAATAAACTAATCAATGAAAAAATTACTGATTGTTTAAATGGTTATTTCTTTAAATTTTTTTGTCTGCTTGATTCTAATATGACATTGCTTAGTTTCTAATGTAGAGCAAATGCTTAATGTTCATATGATTATAGAGAATCATATGTCAAAATTGAAAAATATTGTTAGAACCTGACTCAACAAAAAGAACTAAAAATGATTAAATTCATAATCATATTTTAAAATTTGCAGTAAAAGCTTCAGTATTTCTTTTTCTTTTATGCAAATAATTCTTTTCAATCTACTCAAGCCTCATCTTGCTGGAAACTTGGAAAAACTGGTTTTTTGCCATGTTGAAACCAGGACCATCCCTTGAGAGTAATGGGACATAGGGGATATATAACTTTCTTAGGAACACCTTATTCAAGAATTAGTCATTAAATGTCAAGTAACAAGGATTTTTTTTTTTATGGTGAGCATATCTGTTTTTTGCCAGAAAAGTTAGTCTGCAAAAAACAGATATCTCACTGCCTCCTTCCTTATAAATTCTCTTTGGGACATCTATCGATAAAATTTATTCTAGCATTTAGCTGCTGTTGAAAAACCTATTCATTTTAATTTTTTATGAATTTTAATAAAAACTTGTGTTATATTCTTAAAAATTTCTTAGCATTGTGAATGCCAAATACCAACTTTTCTAAAATGAAATGAAAACCCACAAAATATGAAATAGTTCAAAGTATAAATGTTTTAAATGAAAGAAATGTAGAAAATTTTCACTTAATTAAACTCTAAATAACAGTTATTTTTCAAAAAAATTTTCATTTTAGAAAGTATAAACATTTTTACGCATATGAGTCAAAATAATAATAAACAATCAAATTAATATTAAATAATCAAAACTTTAGTATAATAGTATGTTTATTTGCAATTAAACTTTGATGTTAGTTTTTCTTGTTTTTTAATTACTTATTAGAACCTTCAAGTAACTTGTCTCAAATCAATTTTTAACACTTTCAATTGCTATTTTCAAGAGGATTTTAAGTTTGCTTTCAGACAATTAGTAATTGAGTTAATTTTTTACTAATTTGAATTTAAAAAAAAACCCTTTTATTACAAGCAATACTCATTTTAAAAAATTATCAATAAATTCAATAAAAATATGCAGATTTATCTATTTAAAAAATAACTTACATTACATTGAAAATTTAAAAGTTAATATATATATGTGATGAATAACAAACTGGAAATCCTAAAACCAACTAACTACAAAAACACATTAAGATGCAAACCTTCTTATCCCATTATTTTCATTTCACATTTCAGTCATTATTTTACGTATTAAAAATCTTGAAATTTTCAATCCTATAAACTCTATAGTGTTTTAAATTCTCACCAAACCATTAAGATTTTTAATCCCATTTCGACCAAGTGAGAGAATCCTCAAATTTTCTAAATGACCAAAAGTATTTTTATTTTGAAATATCTTATATTGTATACTTAACTTTCTCTATACAAAAACATCATTGAGAAAAACCTGATTAAAAAAACATTAAATATAACAAAGAAAAAAAGAAAAGTTTAAAAGTTAAAAAAAGAAAAAAGAAAATTTTTTTTTTTTTAATTAGAAAAAAAACAAACAAAAAAAGTATGTATGTTGTGAAATATATATATATATATATATATATATATATATATATATATATATATATATATATATATATATAAATATATATATATATATATATTTATATATATATATATATATATATATATATATATATATATATATATATATATATATATATATATATATATATATATATATATATATATATATATATATATATATATATATATATATATATATGGGCTATTCCACGCCGTTCCATTAAGACAGAGAAGATTTTACAAGAATTAAAGTATTCCTAATTGTTTTGAATAACTTTTCCTAATAATTTCCTAATATGCATTTGATTTAACATATTGCACCAGAAAATACTGTCAGAACTTATGTAGATTACTTTTAATTCAACTTACGGTGCCTAAAAGTAATGTTGCAAAACTAAAATAGCATGTATTCATTCAAAATTTTCTGAAGCTATTAATGCCAAACATTATAAATGAAGATATTCTCAAAGCAAAGGTCTTAAATATTAAAATAATATAAAGTTTTTGGTATCCAAACATATTACGCATAAATTTTCTTAGCTAAATCAAAAGATATACATGTTGCAGTCAGAACTTTTTTTACAAATGCTGCACAAAAACTTAAATCCAATATTCGTCTTACATAGCCTATACAAAATATATTTAATATCCAAATTTACATAGTCTACTCCTATCTCCAACAAATATTCCTGAAGTTTCATCTCTTATATCTAAACTGAATCCAAAAAAATCATTAGGTTCAAACAGCATTCGCACAAATATTCTTATTGATTTTAACTATAAATGTTCAAATATTCTTTCTAAACTATTAATTATATTATTCATAAATGGAACTTTTCTGAATGTTTTAAAAATATCTTTTTTTATTCCAATATCTCTAAAATCTTATGTACTCACTATAGACCTATATCTCTTTTATCTAACATTAGTAAACTTCTTGAAAAACTTATGTATTCTAGAGCGTACTCTTTTTTTAGCTCTTTTAACTATTAAAATGAATTTCAATTTGGTTTTTGTTCAAAACATTCTACCTGCCATGCATTGATAAGTACAACTGAAAAAATCAGAAAAACTCTCGACACTGGTCATTTTGTTTGTGGTATTTTTATAGATTTACAAAAAGTCTTTGATACCGTTGATCATAACATTTTGATTTCTAAATAAGAACACTATGGTATTCGTGGTGTTGTGACTGGTTTTGCTCTAACCTCACAGATCGGAAAAATTTGTAAGTATTAATGGTTAAAATTCTACTAATAAATCTGTTGAGTGCAGTGTTCCTCAAGGTTTTGGTCTTGTTACTCTTTTGTACTTAATTTATGTGAATGACATAAACAACTCTATTTGCTTCTTGTCAATTCATCTTTTTGCTGATGACAAAACCTATTTTATATCAACAAATCATATAATTCTCTATGTAAAAACATAAATTTGGATTTAAAAGGTATCGTTCACTGGTTAATTGCTAACCTAATATGTCTTAACGTAAAAAAAACTGAACTAGTCTTGTTTTCATCTTCTAGAAAAAAACACAATCTAAACAAAAATTCTAAAATTAAAATTAAAATTAATAATAAACATTAAAAAATTGATGTCCTCTCAACGTCAATCCATAAGAATTATAAACTTCCAACTTTTTAAGTCAGAAACATCAGAATCTTTCAAAAAACTAAAAATTCCAACCTTTCCGGCACTTGTATAATTTGTTAATCTTCTTTTTGTTTTTGACTCTCTTAATAAAAATTTACTCTCTTCTATAACAGACTTTTTTACAGAAAGTAGAATAATACATAGATACTCTATGAGAAAAATATATAATGGAAAACTTAGTGTACCATCATTTAAAACTCAGAAGTATGGTAAATATTTTGTTGTCTATCAGTGCATTTGTGAATAGAACAAGAGTCTTGTATGCATAGTGAATAAGTTTTAAAAAAATACAACTTCAAACACCTTTATCGTCTTTTCTTAATTTAAAATAAATTCAATTTAAAAAAATTCTGAAAAATTTTATTATAACTTATTGACATGATTTTCATTGAATATTTAAAATATACTCATTTTTTTAATTATGATTACTACAACTATTATTATTAACTTCTTGTTTGTTTATTTTTTATTATTATCATCAATGCATGATCTTTTAATGTTTACTTTGTTTATGTATGTTCTGTGTGTATGCTTATTGTTAATCATATTATATTTAAAAATTAGTATCACTCCTTTAATTTTTATATATACAATATTTTTCTTGCCACAATGTGAATATTGCAGATTGTTTTTCAATAGGCAATTTTGGTTTTCTTGCTTTATTATTCAAAATATTAAAAACTTATTTAAATTATTAAACTACTATCAGGAAGTAACTTCTTTTAACTATTCAAGGTCAGCTCAGGTACACAATCATCACGATTACCTTTAATACCTGCCCCATGCACTGCTGCCTTGTACAGTTTGCTTTTTTAGGCAAAGACTAGAAGAAATAAACTTTGAATTAAAAATCCATTGCCTTGGGGCTCTTGTTTGAGTTAAGGCTAGAAATAGTGTAATGCCTTGTAGAAGGCCACCTAGTCAAAGACTTTAGGGGTAAACAGAATAGTTCTGTTGACAAGCTTCATACCTTTTTTAATTTATTAGGTTGACATAGATGTAAACATTACAAACTTGTTATTTCCTGCCTTGGATGATGAATGCTTGATCTTCTTGACTCTCATCATAGATTTTTGCTTGTCTCCTTGATAATGGCTATGCAACTCTTCCTGTTGTCTCCTAATAAGAGAACAGCTATAAAACTCAGTTTAATGTTTTTGAGGCCTGCTAATAGTAAGGCTTCTCAAACTCTGTGGTAGCTCTCATAGAGGCTGATTTTATCAACAGCTGTAAAATAATAACAGTGTCATGTTGCGTTTGGATGGTATTTTTTTAAGTGTTTTTTGTGTGCATTTTTGAGGTCTTATAAGGGGTCCTAAGTTATGACTTTTGATTAGTTAACAGGACTAAAGGGACTGCATAGCGCAATTCGTGGAATGCCAAGCTCTATCTATTAACTGGTCAAGTTCTCTTTAAACTTAAATCATACTCAAAGTAACCAAAAATATTAAACATAAAAAACCATCACTACCACCTAACTGTTTCATTACATATCTTTTACAAATATTTGTGGTCTTCAAAAGGGGAAAAGATTACTACATCTGTCCAACAACATCCGTGGAGTAATGAAATAACATCCGCACATTTTTGTGTAAGATCATCCGCTTTTTTTCTTTACTGAATTAACATCTGTGCAACAACATCCGAAATTTCATTTACGTCTAATAACATCTTTATAAAGATGTAACTACATCCAAGAGTTTTTCTCGATGTGTAACTACATCCGCCTAAAATAATGCATTATTAAAAATAAAATAAAAAATAAAATAAAATAAATTTCCGGACGAAGTTACATCAGAAAAAAATCAGATGTGTAACTACATCTCGTTAAAATTATACATTATTAAAAAAACAATTCCATATGTAGTTTCATTTATAATTATTATATTATAAAAGTGCTACTACATCAACTGACAAATAGCCTGACTCGCAACGGAGTGCTGCTACATCAACTGAGGGTTTGGTAGGCAGTCTATCAAATAATTAAAAAAAAAATTTATTATGCTTAAAATAATGCATTATAATATTTTTTTTTGGCGGATGTAGTTACATCCGAAAAAAATCAGATGCGTAACTACATCTGGTTAAAATTATGCATTTAAAAAAAAAAAAATTTGGATGCAGTTACATCCAAAAAATCTACAGATGTAGTTGCACGGATGTTATTATACATCAATGAAATTTGGGATGTTATTGCACGGATGTTATTATACATCAATGAAATTTGGGATGTTGTTTCACGGATGTTATTATACATGGCAAAAACGGATGTTATTGCCCTGACCCTTCAAAAGAACTTTCCATCAGTTGAATAATAGCTCTTGCTTAAGTCACAAGACTTGTTTCTCTTTTATGAAACTAATTTAAATTCAGCTGTTCCTTTTTCAGATCTCAGTATTGATGGGTACTATCTTTTGTTTTGCAAAGACTCCAATAGTCACATACTTGGCTTAGGTGTATAACTGCGCATTCACCTATTTGTTGAGAAATCAAGTTTGAATACTCTGACCATTCTTTTATTTGTTTCCAACTAGTACCTCTTCACTTTATGACCTTTCTTTCTAACTCTATTATTCCCCTTCTCAAAATTGCGCTCTTTCAACCCTGATGGTGCTCAAGCCCATAACTTCTGTATTCCTTGATCTTATACTCTGATTGTTAACTTTGTGACTTGTTTTCCAGACAACCCTAATCACTTGTCTTGTCTCTGATCCTAGCTTGTGTTCAGAGTTTTTCCTTGTCCTCTTTAGGTGGTTCCAACCATGCAATGATCTCTATAAATATTTCATCTCATACTTCTTCAGTCTAAGACTACGATTTCACTATGTACTGCTACCGTAAAGCTGACTGGGATTCTTTTTGTAATTTTCTTTGTGACAGTTCTTAGGCTTATGTCTTCTCTATCTCTTTGGATGAATGCATTTTCTACGTAACCACTTGGATCCAGTCAGACATGGAAGCTTTTATTCTATTTTGTTGGTTTCCTGTTTATTGTTGCAAAAAATTGATTCCCAGTTTACTAAATCTCATATCTTATCATGAAGAGTAACTGGAAAAATTTTAAAATTACCAAATAGTTTCTTTTTAACTGCTTTATTAATGTAATCATCGAAGGCCAACACTTTTTTTTATTTCCAGTAACTTCTGGGGTACCTCAAGGTTCTATCCTTGGTCCTGTTTTGTTTCTTATTTACATTAATGATCTTCCCCACAACCTTACATCTAAAATAGCTCTTTTTGCTGATGACTAAACTCAACATTGTCAACATTTTAATATTAACGAATGATAACCCTCTTACTGACTCTTATTTTTTATGTCTTCTTATATTATAATTTTCTACTGACCTCTCATGAAAACCATATTTACAATCAATTGCAAAGTTAGCATCTGTTAAGGTTGCTTCTTTTTATCGTGCTTGCCATTTTCTTACTCCTGATTTCATTCTCTACCGCTACAAAACTTTTATTCGTCTCTAATGATGCCTTTTCTCTTTTACAAAAAGCCCAAAAAATGCATTGTAAACATAGTTGGACTTGCTTAAATCTGCCAAGCTTGAGCCTCTAATTCATCATCATAAAGTTACATCTTTTTTTCTTTTTTACAAATACTATTATGACGCTGCTCCAAGAGGGAGCAGCAACATAATAGTATTCAACCAAAACACATTCTTGCTTGACTTGTCATTAAGCAAATTCACATCCTTTTACTGTATACTTCCTTACTGTATACTTCTCTAAAAACTTTTATTTGTCTAGTTTCTTTTCCTGCACTTCAATCTTTTGGAAATCTCACCCACCTTCATGTTTTCCTGACTCTAAACTTTTAATACAATCTACAACTTTTCAAGTCTTCTGTCAACCCTTTTCTCTTTAACTCTATTCCTTGCTTTTTAGTAACTCTGAACTAAATAGTGGTTGCTTGCAGCCTTCTTGGGAGTTAATTAGAA